CATATATCCTGCTACACCTTTTAATTTGTAAGAAAAAAAGAAATATAAATTATATGGAAAAGGAATCTCCAAATCTACTTTGCTACCTCTGCACAAATGCTCTTTGCCCTTTTCTATTTAAATAATTTCGAACAGCTGGATAAACGTTTTCAGTAGTGCTGCGTCAGGGTGCATTAAACGCTACAAGTGTTTTTATTCCAACTATTTCCAAGCTTCTATAGAACGTAGAATCGTGTGTATAAAGGGAATAAAAAACGCGTTGTTTCGTAGTGCCTTTAATTTGAAAGCTTTTACTGTACGCGAGGTAAGTGTAAGCCGAGGTCTTTCACAGATACGAAAAAGTTCACGTAGCTAGCTTCGAGCTAACGAGTATTCATTTTAAAGTCCTTTCCTCTTATCCTACAAATAGCATAGGCTTCCCTTTTAATCTTACGTTTCGCCAGATGATATCTTATCTCGTTACCGAAAACTTAAATGCTCTTTTATTCGTGAACGTCGTGCCTAATTAAACCCTCTTTTCCCTGCACGCCTTTTTCTGGTGAAGTACGCCCTTCTACGTCGATTTATATTCCCATGACTGCTATGTACAAAAAATTAACGTTCGATAATCGCGTAAATTCTCGTGCCGGAACGTAAACGCGAACCCTGCCCTCGAACACAATAAAATGTGCAGTATAATTTTTCTTTTAAACTACGAGTGCTATTAAGAATCGTTTCTTTTGTGTTTTAGTTACAAGGAGGACACTGATGATCAGGTTCGGTTCGTGAAGTTTTGCAAGACTCGATCAATTTTGTCTGTGAATGTGGTCAAGTGACTTTCGCAAGAGTGGATTCTTATATACTGTATCCTATGCAAAGGAGTGCCAAAGCAATTAATACGTGACTCTAGTTCTTAATACCAAAGATAAATAATTATACATTGTACAGTTAATGATTGTTTAAATAAAAAACAAAGTCTTCCATATTTGTGTCTGCTCCTTGAACCACCGTCATTAAAATGCCGAAGTACTGTTGCATTTAATGTATAAAACGTGTATAAAGATCAGAACATAATTTGATATTTAAAGAAAGTATGTAAATATAAGAACTGTAGACGTCTGAGCTACCGACTAAATTCTCGTACTCCACACTCTCTCGCAGCATCGGTAGGTGGAACTACTATGACTACTACAGGAATAAGTCGTACTTTTTAGAAAATAGATATGCAGCTATACAAGAATGCAAAATGTTCGATGCAATTCTATATTTCTAGACTCTATCTATAAAATTCAATTTTTGACTTACGAAAATCTCGATAGAATATACGAAAACGAATATGTAGGGAGATATGATTAATTAGGGGATCGCGTGAGCTTTATAATCAAATACGTAGCAAGATATTTTTTATCTTAAGATATAGTTCATCCAGATTATCCTAACTCAAAAGAACGAAGAAGTTTCAAAGATAATTAATTTAAATAAGAAAGAGATCAGAGATTCTTGCACGCATGCTTCGAGTCCACGAATTTAGCGCACCGAGGAATAACATGTAGCTTCTTGTACGACATCAGCTGCAGTAATATGCAGTTACAATATCTAAGAAAATTGTGTTTGACGTTCTCAAACGTAGGTTTGCATTTACAATACAGCGGAAACAGTATTGTAAGGGCATGTTTAAAAAATTAGAAGACGGGAATAGGAATAAATTGATGATTGCATGAATTTTTTGAAATTTAAATATTAACAATGAACCTAGTTATTTTATTTATAGAAGCTTGTGAACGAATCGAGTTTCTTGATATGGATATCATGCTATTAACGATGTAGCAGGGTTTCAAAGTTTCATAATGAAAATAGAGATTTCAATTTTTGTACTCACATGGAAATTGTTCGCCGTTGCATCAAAAATGTCAGTGCGAAAGATGGTTGCACGCGCGCATGCGTTGTCTGGAGGCTGAAATTTGAACCGAGCCCATAATACGAATGCAAATTTTTACGTATAATATTATTTTTATCCTTAACACAAAATCTACTTTTATTCATTGGACAAAGTAATCAGACTTCGATTACCGTATTAAACAACAATAAATTATGAAGAATCGAACTGCACTAGTAAAACGTGCAAGCATATCTTTATTAAACATAGTTTAATTTTAGCCAACACCGATTACGAATAACACTGTGAGATCGATCGTTTTAAGTAATTCAATATCACTACGAGAGACGTTATGAAACTTCCTTTCATTAAACTTGGTTACGCGGGTCTCATTTGAATATCTAATTGCAAATGAATAGAAGTAAAAGATCTTGCATTTATTGTTACTGAATCGTTTTCGTAAATTTGATCGGGCATTGAATTGACCATAATTTGAATGATATGCTGGTTCTTTATTGATAAGCGAGAAATGAAATGACATTTAGTCCCGTTTAATGGAAGTATTGATAATACCAATCATCCTGAATGAGATAAAAGTAGATTCAGCTTTCCCATTTCGTAAATTCGGCTCGATAAATCACATATTTATACTCATTAACGAGGGGATCGATGAATTATAAATTTTGAACAGTGAACGTGATGTAAGATTCTGTCAATCTTTCGATACTATTAGGAACTCGTTAATAATTTGATAAATTCGTATATTAAATATGCATCTACAGTATTTGAAAATTCATGTGCAGATATTTAATTTTTAATGATTAACCGTTTCAATTTGCAGTGGCAATGAACAATTTCGCGGAGAGAACCAATTTGTAAGTCCATTTATTACTGTCTCCAGTCGATACATAAATATGCAATGAACTTCGCGAAAGGCGGGATTTTTATTTGAAATTTCAAATTCTATCCTGCACAAAGCACCGAGATTCTCTCGTAATTTATAAACTTAAAATGCCAACGTGGCAGATTTAAAAGAAAGAGATAAATCGATGAAATTTTAGTTAAATTACTCGATACTACTGATTCTGTTAGTAGTAGATACTTTCGACGAATTTTTAATTCAAACAACTACTACTCAAATTATTTTACCATCGATGATTCTTGTACTTTCGCGCGAAAGAAACAATAGATTATGTTGCAAAGAGAAACATGCGTGCGTATACATGCGTATATACGCATATACACGCACGTGTCATTGAGGATAATGTAAGTTGGAGGTACCAGTGATTGGGAGATCAGGAAAAATTCTGGACATTGTAGCGAACAGTTCTGGCAACAATATCGCGAGGCTCGGATCGACGTGCCACGATGTCTCGTAAGAGCAGGAGAGCGGAACTCGAACTGTCTTCTCCTTCTATTTGTCAGGCTGTGTTCTCATTTGCTGGTTCTTGCGTCCCTCTGCGACTCTCCTCCGTCTCTCTCCTCTCTGTCGATATCTATATATGTACCCATTCGTCCGTCCCTGTCTGGACGAGATCGGCGTATACATACCATTGCGTTTCTCCTTCTCCCGCCTTCAATAGGGTGAGATCGGGCCACGGACGTATCCGACAGGATTGGACCAGCCTCTGACGTCATTGCGTGGACCGACGCGACGTATCTCGTCGACGATTGTCGAAAGCATGCTGTTCTTGCGCCTGTATATATCCACCCACAGCAATCAGCGGCAAATTCAAAAAACACACGATAAAGTTGGATTTCTCTTCCATCGCATCGACGAAACGCTACTCTTCCTCCTGTATTCGATTACAGTGAATCAACGGTTACTTTGAGAGATTAGAATCTCGATTCGTACGGCTTTTGAAACACTTCATCGAAATCTCAATTTCTGAGACAGAACTCCGACAAGTCGACTGGTACAGAAGAGAAAGGAACAAAGAACAGAAAGCAACGAATTATTAATTTTGCCGGAGTTCTGCTGTTTTAAATATGGATTTTTACGAGTCGTGTGCTCCTTATATATATTTTTCTCGTCTCTCTCCCACGTTTTCTTGTCTGTAAGTAGTAATGCAATGCGTAGTCTACTAGTTTACGTTCGTAGATTTTGCTTGAACTAACAACGGATAGAGTAATGGGAAATACTTGTAAACTACGTATTGCGTTTAAAGTTCTAATTAGTATCCGACATGATATTCATAGCGGGAAGGTTTTGAAAAGAGAACAATAATCGACCTCGCTCAAGATGAATGACATCGAAGTCTGCGTAAGCGGCTACGTGCTCCGATGGCGATGCGAGGAACATCGGCAAGGGCGCTAGCCGCAGAAAACAGTGGAGGTTAGGTACGGCCAGGACGGTGCGTTCCAGGTAGTGGAGAGAAGAGTACCCGGAGAGAGCACCCGGGACGGGTACGTATACATAGGTAGGTAGAGCGCAGAGGCAGACGAGAAGAGACGACCGCTTGAAATCCCTTTCTCCTTCCCGCCTTTCCTGCCTGCTTCTCTCTGCCGCCCGTCCGCCATGCCACTACGAGCGAGCGAACGTACAGCTAGGCCGGCACGGTCCTGTAGCCCATTTGGCATTTCCCCAGCTATAGCGGCGGTCCTGTAGCCCATCGTTGTTATCGTCCCGCAGCTGCATAAAGTCGGCTCTGCTTCCCCTTACCCCTCTGACCCTCTCTCCCATGCTGTCGACCGACCGCCCGTCCACCACTCCGCTCCTCGTTCTGTTTCGCTCGCCACGCTGCTCGACATCAACGTTTCTTCCTCTCGCTCTCTCTCCCTTCATCTCTTACCCATTTACCTCTCTCTATCTACTTATATCTCCTTCTCTCACCAGCCAGTCGACCCGATCGTGTTGCCCTCTTTCCTCTCCACCGGCTGTACCGACGTGGTACCGACGCTTCGACCAATCCCCTTCCTTGTCGCCCCGCGGTCTTTCGTTGTCCGCCGTTCGCTTCTCTCTCTCTTTCACGAGTAGTCTGCCAGCCTGACGTTTCCCCCGCTTCGTACCTACCACTACCAACGCTGCCTTATTCTACATTCTACATCGTTACCGCTACTCATACATACATACATACACACACACGCACGCTCGCGCGCGCGCCATCAACGCTGGTACCCCGTGTTTCTAGCGAGGCGCAACGGTGGCGCCGCCAGACAGGGACGCCTCGAAACGTTTTCACCATCCCGTCTCGCCCCGCTAGCGTCTGATCCAAGCCCATGTACCGACGACGACGCCTGATGCTGCCATGCTCTGCGGTATGTACTAACTATAACTATATATACATACCCACGCACCGTCCTTGTCGTTCTATCGATTCCCTCCCTTCCTCCTGCCGCTCTCGACGAACCTCTTCTCATCCTACTCGTCATATATCTCTCTCTCGCGCCTTTTCCTATCTCCGTCCCATTATCCTTTCGTCTCTTTCTTTCCCTGCGTCTCGCTGCCAGCCAACTTGCCTGTCTGCTTGCCTGGCCTACCTGACTGCCTGCCTGCCTCGTCTCTACTTTGCTCGTTTACTTACTTGCTCGCATGCTAGTCCGCCTGCTAGGTTGCTAGCCCGCTCGCTTCGGCCGGCTGTGTGCTTCGTTCATCCTCTGCGTCGGTAACCTTGGCGAGGAATAACCCGCCGTTCAATTCAAGGAATTATGACGGCTTCTCCGTTTTCTCTTTTTCTATTTGCGAACCCCTCTTTTTCGTTCTTTGTCACTAGTTTTCTTCTCCATCTTCCTCGCTCCCGTAGAGCCGAACGGAGAGCGAAGCCAGTCCTTTTCCTTTGCTTGTTGGCACTCATTCGTGCTGATATTTACGCGCCTATGGGCCCCATGCAGCGAGCGACGCCATTACGTGAGCCTCGGCAATGATGTTCGATGCATGTGTATAGTGTACGTAGCCTGCATGTATGCACGGATGTGTATAAAGCAAGTGTCTACGTCAGACACCGTGTCCTCGAGATACGATTATGATAGGAAGATTTTAAAGCTTGCTACAAACGCGCACGTCTACAATTTGTAAAGCATGTAATGATTTCATTTTACAGTATGACGATTTTAAGGTTCACTTCACTCTCGCCAAAAATTACGGTAAGAACGATTACCGATAAATAGATATATCGCATGGTCGATTCGATATTTTCGATTCGACGATTCGAGAAGGACATGTAGCCGCCATTTTGTTAATCGGCGTCTTTTAGTTTATTACGTAACAAGAATGTTTGTTAATCTATTTGAGTGTTGGATAAAGAAGGTGGTGAATAGAAATCTAAGAATAGCGTGGTATATATTCCAGGTAGGTATATCATATATATGTAATATTCTATCTACTTTACTTTTACTTACATAAATACGATTGAATATCACGTGCATACCTTCAATTGTGTTAACCTACGTATCCTATGCAATCGATGATATTAGTTCATTGTTGTCGTATAAGACTTTTTCGTATTTTATTCGTCTGTAATGTAACATGCAAGCAAAAGCTGTTTCATACGAAATAGTAAATATGTACGTAGAAGAGTATCTAGCGTAGACTGGTGTTGCACCTAAACGCAATTAGAACATGCACGGAAGTTAACCGCGTTTGCACGGAACTTTTAGTCTAATGAAATTTGAATTCAGTTATATAAAATGAAAATATAGTCTTATGAATGATCCGAGCCATAACTGGCAAATGCCGACGTAGTTTTCCATTAACGTTGATAGACCCTAGCGAGTACAAGGATTGCGGGTGAACCTCCAACGTTTTGAGGTACAGGCACTTATTGTGTTACGTTAATTTTCTGGCGATTCTTTTTTACAGGTAACTGCATCGGCGTGAAGCAATGATCGATCGGCTGGAAATATCCTCAACGATATCGGACAGAATGAACCCTTGAGTTTCCTCATGTGTCTCGCGGGCCCTTCAGTTACTTGAAATCATCGGCGAGCACAGTGAGTAATTGCACTTTCAATTTGTAAATTATTAAGGTATATTCCGTTTGTTATGATCTGTGTTTCGACTTCGTTATTGAAATCCGATATGGGTTCCATTTCCACGTTTTCAACAATGATGCATTGCTATTTTCACCGGTTTGATAACGAGTACAACAGTAAGGGTAAAATTTTGTATCCATCAATAGCATTACGTTTCATGCCACTAATTAACAGATTTTGTTCGAATTGGATAGAATTCGAGCAAAGTTTTGTAAATGCATACGTCGCCCTAGTATAGCCGCGTTTACGGATGTCGAGGATTGATTTTTTAACCATGGAATATGTGTTAAACGGTTTCAATGGTATCTTTTACGAGCAACTTCTCGAGTCGCTTTACTGATATCGAGGTTACGCGAAATGGGGGGGTTCAGCGCCGAGTATGTTCCAAGTATTTTAGAGCGCTTGTTCCGTTTGTCTGGTGGACGGCGCATAGAAATAGCGAGAGAACGATACGATACATATACCGCATACTTTTTTTCATGCGTTCTTGACCTTTCGACAAAACGATCGTTTCTCCCCCTCTACGTTGCGTTCCCCACGGTGCAACCCTGTTGGGCTCACAGGGTAGAGGATGTAGGATGTCGTTCGCGCGATATCAGTGTCAGTCACTTGTTGAATGTCGGCCAGTATGTACGGATGAGCATCCGGCGTGCGTCCTTGCAGTGTTTTTCATTGCAGCCGCGCGCAATTTCTCCTCTCCGGAGGTGTTGCGCATCGCCCGGTAAACTCGGGTCAGAGTATAAATACCGACCGCATATTTAAAGCTACACCCCGAAATAATTGTATTCCTATCGTGAATCAATTGTACAATACATTTATATACCTGTATTTATTTTGTCTAAGGTAACGATTCTCTGAGAAGCGAAAATCATTGCATTCTTATCATGATTGAATTGTGCAACACTCGCATTTCTCATTTACTTTGTATCTGATAAGATGACATTTTCAGATATCGAGCATGATATAGGTCATTCTAATATACTCTGGTAGTAAAATTTCATCTAACGTTCGACGCACGTGTCGAGGAAAATAATGGATCGATCTTGACTACACAAATAACTATAATTACGATTTATTTTAAGGAATGCAGTGGGATCATTGTTAACTAATTTTAAGAACGGATCGGATGCGAATTCATCTCCGTGGATGTAATTCGTGTTTCTGAAATTGAATCAATTCCGTACTATTTTTACGTGAAGACATAGATAACGTGTAATGCTAGTTTCCTACAGAGTTTTTCAGCAAGACTCGTTTTATAATGACTCTTGAGTTGATCAGATTCTATTCGAATTTGGGGCGATTTTATGATACATATGTTTTACATTAAGATGCATAGTTATTAAGTATTTAATAGAGAGGATCATGACACGGTGGATGAGATACAGTAGTGTATTAAAATAATCATGCGAAGTCGATGATCCGTAGCATGCACGTAATACTACTATAGAGCAGGTACACTCGTGGTGATTAAACTGTTGAATCGAGCACTCTCCTTTATCGGCGAGGTCGGAGAAATGTGCAGGGCAAAGCATTGTGCCTGAAAGAAAAGGGGACTGGGTTTTTAGCTAGTTACAGAAGCCTTTGCCGCTCGTTTTGTAGGTGCAAGGTAGTCTAACCGCGGTTTTAAAGGATTCTATTGTCGTTGGGAGTTGCTGTTGTTTGCTGAACTCGGCCGTATTCCGAGTTTTTCAAGGTGTACGTGCGTTCGAGGAAGGCTTCGTATCACAAGCTCGACTTTAATGTGACCTCATGACCCTTTAAAAGGAGACAACCTCTTCCTTGAACACGAACTTTGATCTCCCGTTCAATACACGTAATGGGCGAAGTACATCATCTTTCCTCAATGAGAACGGAAACGTTCTTTTGTCGAAATTAGAATGAACGATCATGTGTCTTCGATAAATTCACTCTTAATTTTCACTATTTAAAAATGATATACAGTAACTTCACTCTACAGTATATCTGACGATATTTCAAATATTCTTTGATGAAAAATAAGTCCCTTGCGTCTAAACGCGTTTTCCTTGAAAAGCAAAGATTTAGAAGGGACCCAAGCTCGGTCCCGAAATCTACCTGAAGCGCAGCGTTTATTTGAAAATGTGGCCGTCCGCCAGCAGTCGTAGCTTAAGTTCAGAGCCAGGTTCAAACAGGTCTGAACCCTCGGCCTCGTGGCCCATTATCCCGAAAGGGCCTTGGAAATTCCTTTAGCCTTAGGAATCGGTCGAGCCGAAACTTAGTGTCATCTTGTAGGGTCTTAAGCTTCGACCCGAAAGATGTTTCACGTCTGACTATATTTATACCTTCCCGGATCCTTCCTCATCTCTTTTCCTTTTCGGCAAAAAGATTGCATTGATTTTTATGAATTAAATTGTGTTAAAAAATATCAAAAATATTAAAACATGGGTGCCTGTTGCGATGTTTAAATAACAGAAAAAAAATTTTATTTTATCATTTAGAATACATTTTTTTCCTGATATCTTGAATGTTTCATTTTGCATAAAAATTCGCGGTCTAATGATCATCTATTTATCGTGATCGAGAAGTTTGAGGAGTCGACGATAAGGTGTGCTCGCTTATCATTATGCAAACGTTTGTGCGAGAACTGGGACGTGACTCGTAGGCAAAAAAAGGAAAAATCACACGTGTCACTGTATTGCGTAATGACTACCTGTTCTTTACGTAATGCGTTGTCGTAGTTGCATCTCAGAAATCTGAGAAGAATGTTGCACGAAGTCCTCGAAAATGTCCCATGCCTTCAAGATCAACGATTGTATTATACTGTGTAAATTCTTTAAATCGTTCGATGTTCATTAATTAAATAGTAGGAATTCGTGTCTGGAAGTTGTTCATCCGATTAGACCAATTTTCATAGTTATGTTTCGACAACAGTATTTTTCACGTTAGAACTCGTACGTAAAAAAATATTTTGGAATTCATTATCCTCTTCTCAATACTCATTAAATTCTGCATAATATTTGAATGGAACTTCGCCCGAAATGTTGACAGGAAGGGGGAGTCCGAAATTTACTTTTAATCTACGAGAATGAAGAAAGAAAAAGAAACTCGGGAAAGAAAGAATCGCGGTGCTTCGTCATGCTTAACCTCGGCAATTTTTCAAGACCACTTTCTGGGTCAGAGAATTTTCTTTTTCGACTATATTCACGACCCGGTAATTGCATCCACAGTGAAAAAGTCAATTTAATTAAGGAACAACGAGGTTGACGAGACCGTGGGATTGTTCCGTACGAGAAAGCCAGTTTATGACTCTTCAATTTTGAGTCAATAGTACCAACTCTTTGTCCTGTGCCACTTGCTCTTAGAACTTCATTAGTACATCTTTTAATTCATTGTCGCGTTGCGAGACAACGAAACGCCTCTTATATCATGTAGACATAGTTTACGAGAACGTTTAGTACAAATTCTGGTCAGATTATTCTCTCGGCATTAACGAAAATTTGAACAAGCAAATGTACATAATAATTTTCGTTAAAGGGTTGACGTTACAGTTTGGCGAAAAGTTTTCTGGATCATCCCCTATGTCGGTAAAGTAGCAGTGGCAGGAAGTTGTAAGGGCGGTGGGGCTCTCCCTTTAGGGTGGTCGGTTTTAGGGCGGCTGTTGGGAATCCCGAGGAGCTTCTCACGAAGGGGAGTTTTTTGTCGCGTCTGTATTCTAGCGCGGCGCCGAGGGGGCGCTTTTTAAGCACGACCGACGCGGTGTAGGACGACAACGCGAGCTCTCTGCTTTTAATCTGCGTTACTCATTTTTCTCCTCTACGAACCTCCAATTTCCTTACACACTTAATTTAATCGATTCCCTTCGTTTCTTTGCTCCAAGATTTCAATTCACATGTGGTCCAAGTTGTTTGAACGTCCACACGTTTTTCAGTTCTGAGATTCCATCAACATTCTTCAGGTTCGTTTATGTCATTCGATGAGAACGTTGTATCTATTCAATGTGTAGTAGCAATTTATGATTTCTGTGATAACTGGCTCACATGCCTTGGATGCAAACAGTCTAAATGAGGCTGGCAGGATAAGCTTCCTTATTATATGGCAGACAAGAGGGGACGATTCTTGTAACTCTTGTATATTCTCAGAGGCCAGCCGTTTACGAACGCTGGACTAATTTTGTCTGGTGCGGCGCAACGACGCCCGTATTAGAATAAACCCCGTTTGCCTGAAATTGCGCCGCATCACGTACGAGCATCCGCGTGTAATCTATGCATCGGCGGCATCTCCGCAGCGATAACTGTACAATCTCGTCAGTAAAAGGCTTCGCGTTTAGGGTTGGTCATATTGTCCACGCGACACAGTTATTACTAATTTCTGAGGTTCGCACAGTAGATTCTCATTCGTTCGTTTTTCGAATTCTTTCATGGATCGTAGACAGATGTTTCGCGGGATTAATATGTACGGGAAGCGTAGATTCGATTTTGTTCGATTCGCCGCGTCTGATTCTTTTGACGCGACACGAGGGGGAGGATTCGAAGTTGCATAATTAATTTTTCTATAAATCTCTCGGCGAGGAATATCGTGAAATTTCCTCTCCGGGTAATATCAGCGGAGCTTACCGCGGAGAGGAGAAAACTCGAGGAGAGAAAATTTCCCCTTCCCGGCTTCGGCGCACTGGCGGCACTGTAGGGTGAGCTAAGGAGAAAGAGAGAACCGGGGGTGGCAAGAACGAGATGGGAATAGAAAAGGAAAAGATCGAGCTGGTTTTACCGGTCGTGGGCGCGACGGAGATCGGGTCAGGACGAGGAAAAACAGGGGAGAGAGATGGGGCCGGTTCCAAGGAGAAGAAGAGAAACGCAGAGGGTAGATGTGAGTTGAATTGGGGGATGCTTCTTCCTCTCTGGTTTTTCGCGTCCTCGGGCACTGCGCGAGAACGATTCTACGGAAGGAAATAATATTCTTAATAGAATATGAGAAAGCGTGTATTTTCTGAAGATACTCCGGCT